AACTTGAAAAAGAAATTGCAATGCAAGATCTTTGCCCCCTCATTATTTTCTTAACATAGAGATATCTTATTTTTTAGGTGGAAATCTTATGCCTGGGATCTTCTTGCTCATACTTAAATGCTAGGTGCAAAACCTATTTCAACATCAATGACAAAGAAGAATAATATTCATAGGAATCTGATATATTTCCTGATCCATCTCTTTATTAGAGAATTGTTAAGGCATTACAGTACATTACCATAACCGGCTTGACCTTTCTCATTGTGTCCATACTAGTGTTGTCAAATTCACTTCACTTCGATGAAGAGGCCAAAACCTTCAGATTTTAGGCCTAGACCAAAGTGAAGCGAAGCTTGGTGTTGCCACTTTGGTCAAATGGGGGTGGTTTCGGCAGATTTAAGTCGGCTTCGTGCCTATTCGGCCAAAGCTTTGGCCTCTTCAGCCTAAGCAACCTAATAACTATATAATTTTTTTTAAAAAAAATTATTTTTATTTTTATTATTTTTAAATAATTTTTATATGAAAATTAATTTATTTATGTTAAATTTAAAAAAAAGTTTGAAGTCTATCCCTAAGTCTGCCAAAGCACCAAATTGCTGCATTTTTCTCAGGAAACCGAATAAAACTCCAAAGTGAAACATGGGTCCATACAATGTGTCAATTTATATATACCCCTATAATTGCACATTTTCAGGCAGTTAAGTGGATTCTTCATTATCTCAACGGTACACAGTCATGTGAGTATAAGAGTCTTATCTGCTAGTTCTCTAGAGTTATATGCCTTCTTTGATGCAGACTGGGTACTCACTGTTCAATCACTGGTTTTTGTACTTATCTTGGTTTCAATTGCATATCTTGAAGTGCTAAGAAACATTCGACTATTGTTCAACTGTTGAAGTTGAATATCGATCTATGGCATCCATTGCTGCATCATTAACATGGCTTTCTTTTACTCTTCTAGATATCGAGGTTCCTCATTCTCAACCACTAAAACTTTTTTGTGATAATATTAGTGCTTCTACATGACAGTTAATCACATTTTCCATGCCCGAACAAAACACATTGAGTTAGACTATCATTTTGTGCATGAAAATGTTGCTCTTGATTTACTTGTCACTCGAATGGTTTCCTCTCGCAATCAAGTAGCTAATATCTTTACCAAGCATCTGCCACAAGATGTTTTTTTGAGATATTTGATTTAAACTCGAACTTCAAATACCTACCCAGCCAAGTTTGAGGGGGATAATAGAAATAAAGTCCAACAATATTAGTTTTTGGAAAGGCCACAATATAAATATTGTTTTTTCCTTTGTGAGAGAATGTAACTCTTTTATTTTTTCTTAGAGAATATAACAAGATAGGAAAGTACATATTGTACGTAACAAGATAGAAAAATGCATATTGTACCGTTATATCACGATTGTATATATAATGAAAGAGCCATCACAGTTGAATGTGGGAGAACAATATTTCTTGACAGTTCATTTTTCTCTAAAATTCTTTATTAAAATCTTTGATGGTTTCGTTTACTTTGAAAATTTTGCAAGTGTTGTGCCCCTTTGTACAGGTTTACATTTTACCTTTAACAAGTGACATTGTTATATAACTATTACTGATGGAATATTCTTTTAACCAACTCAATATTTTTTTAACACTTGATACCCTTTTTCTCAATATAATAACTTTTTATCTAGGTGTATTTTGTGTGACTAATCAATGATGAAGAATACATGTTTCGCATAAAAAAAAGTATTTAATAACTATTGTGTATTTGATGATTCATTTTGTGTTCATTGAGGATTATGGGTCATTTAAGGTATTTTTAATAAAAAATAAAAAACTATTGTGTATTTAACAAATTTTCATCTAGGTGTATTTTGTGTAACTAATCAATGATGAAGAATACATGTTTGATAGAAATAAAGCATTTATTATTATGGGAAATGACACTATCCACCTTGATATGCAATATTAATTACAATATAGTAAATGAAAATATGCCATTATCTTATTTTGAGAAATATATATTCTAACACTCTCTAATAACAAAAGGAAAATCATATAATGAGATCGTTTACCTTTGGTACAAGGTGGTTATAATAAATCTTAACTATTGGATGTGAAATTGCGTGATTTCATTTATTTGATTGACCAAACTCAAAGTTCAAAAGAAATTTTTTCAAACTTTGTGACACATCCAAGCTATCATATTTCACATCGGATAGTTGTAACTTGTAAGTAATTGTGACCTCCCTATTTCAAAGGTAAATGCCCATAATAGAATATGGCATTCAAGAAGTTCTGTATTAAAATACAATGATAATTAGTATCTAATGAATGTTGATTAAGTCAAAAGAATTCTTTGATAAGATTGAGTGGCCCAACAAAATATTTAACAAGTAACTGCATTAATTCCTTCCGTGAATAAAAGACTTAGGTAATAAAATTTGTGATACCAATAGCATAGATTCAGGAAAAAAGTCCGGGTTTAATTGGTTAGCGCTTGATGATTTGCAATGCTACATCCTAGGCGCAATTCCTATCAAGGGTAGGAGCCCTCTGCCCACTGACTCACCTAAAAAACAAAATCGTAGATTCTTTTATGGACCCGGTTTCTATGTAGCCAAGCTCACATGTGTAGAAATGCAGGCCTCTTAATAAATTTAGTTTTGAGATAGATTTTACGACTTAATTTTTAAGGACATGTTGAGATAGATTTTACGACTTAATTTTTAAGGACATGTAATCTCTAACATGAAGATCACCAATATGAATAAATAAATAAAATTTAAAAACTAAAAATAATAATTCTAATAAAAAATCATTTGGATCGTTAGTTTTCATTGTTTTTAGATAAAACACCTACTTGCATCCATCTTTAAGACAGATTACACTTGCTGGACCACATATGTAGATATGCCGTCGAGCCCGCATGAAATAATTTTCCTTCTTTTATCGTCACATCTTTGTGAGGTATATATATTAATTTAAATTATTAATAATGCTATTTTGGTAGGACCTGGTTTCTATGCGGCCAAACCTGCATATGTAGAAATGCGGCCTCTTAATAAATCTATTTTTGAGATGGATTTTTTGATTTAATTTTTAAAAACATGTAATCTCTAACATGGAGATCATGAATATGAATAATAAATAAATGTTAAGAAATAAAATAATAATTCTAGTAAGAAAACATTTGGACCATTAGTTTTTATTGTTTCTAGATGGAATACGTACTTGCTTCCATTTTTAAGATGGATGTTTTACACGTTTTGGACCGCATATGTAGTCATGCAGTTCAACATGTATGAATCTATTTTCCATTTTTGTAAGGCTTGATTTTATGAAATCTGGCAAGGCCCCGGCTCAAAATCGTGTAGGAGAATATGGTTTTGATGCAAAAAAAAAAAAAAAATGACCTGAAAATCTAAGTCCACTTTTGATCGTACAAAGCTAATAAACAATGCATATTTAATAAATTTGTGAAGAGTTGTAATAAAAAATATTCAAGATGTTGCAAGATGGATTATTTATAGTGTCCCAATCCTAGTTATCTGTGCAGAGGTAATCGATTAGTACAATTTTTTGTTTTGGGTAATTACAATTAGTAGAGTTTCTAACACGAAAAATGGTTTATTCGGGTGATATTCGAGTTCTGTTTTATAAAGCATTAACCTTACATCATCATCAAAACTTTTTTTCAATTATTTGGGTTCGGCTACATAAATCATGGTTCGTCATTCTTCTCTATCAAAGGCCATACCTTAGTGAGGCAATAAGTCCTCATATTTTTTCTCACTACTTCTAACCATGTTCTTTTGGTCATCTCTTGTGCTACTTTTTAGCCTTTTACTTGAACCAACTCACACCTCTTAACAAGTAATGCACTGGGTTTGTGTTCTACATTCCCAGCCTTACAAAATATTTTTTGAAAATGTATAGAATGAAGCTATTTACTTTTGATCTAAGGAGATCACAATCGTCATTAACCATTAGATTTGAAATCATATGGTTGAGGCAAAATTTTATGTTTAAGCATAAAATTAACTGTTACATTTAAATTTTATGTTTAAGCATAAAATTTAAAACAAAATTTCTTAAGTGTTGTAAAACACTTTTATCCATTGAATTTCACATCCAATGAAAAAATAAATATGACATTTTTGTACCAAAAATAAATGGGTGCGGTATAGAGCCTAAGCTCTAAACAATCAAATTAGAGCCTACCTTCAAATAGTGTTGAGAAACGTGGTTTCAACGCCAGATATCTTTGTGATAGCCTTAAAATGTATTTTTCATCTTTATTTATAAAGTTTAAAGCTACAAAAATAGTGTAGATAGACATATATGAAAACTTGAAAATCTTGAAAATTGACTGGCCAAAAATAAAATACACTATTTTTAAAACTTGAAACCTATTTTTTCTCATGTCCATGCATCTTGATGTCGAGATGATCAATTTGAGGATATTTTTCCATCAAAATAATCTATTTTAGTGAAAATTTGAGGTAGCTCTAATTTGATTGTTTAAAGCCTCAGCTCTATATAAACTTTTCTCGATTGTTTAAATGATGGCATAGTATATACAATCCATACTTTCCCTTTAATATATACGGGGAAAGTTTATATTAAGTCAGGCTCTAAACAATAGCATACCTCAAATATTTCACTAGAAGTGGTTGTTTTGATGTTCAAATATCTTCAAATTGATCATCTTGACATCAAGATGCAAGATGAATGGACATGAAAAAAAAATGGATTTTAAATTGTGAAAATAGTATATTTTGTAATGCAGTTTTTTGCCATTAATTTTCAAGGTTGTCAAGTTTTCGTAGATATCTCGATCTACATTATTTTTTAACCTTTAAATTTTGTAAATAAAAATAAAAATTTATAGTATTAAAACTATAATTTTCAACACTTTTTGAAAGTACGCCCTAATTTGATTGTTTAGACTATAGAGCGTAGGCTCTATACAAACCGTACCCAACATATGTTGCCCTATTTTATCTTTCCACTTCTCACGAAGTCACGAGTCCCGAATCAGGAGTCGCCTTGTAGAACCCTGGAATCGCTGGATAGACAGCTTAAAAGGAAGAGAGAACCAGGAGCTCATAGAAAGAGAGGAGCAAGAGAAACATAACAGTTTTTAAGAGAACAGAAAGAGGAGAGAGATTATTATACAAGAAGATTGATTGGGAATCAGAAGGAAAATGGGTCGTCGTAGTCGGTTGCCGTTAGGGCAGGAGCTGATCCTCTGTGCCATCAGCGCTGCTTTGAGCTATGCGATTTTGGCGGTTGGGCTTAAGCAACTCGACCCAAATAGAGAGTCTGCTAAGAAGGCTGCAGAAAAGAAGAAGGAGCTTTCTAAGAGATTGGGTCGTCCTATACCCTCCATGAATTCCTATGAGGTCAATGCCTTACTCCATTGACACTTTATTCTCTTCTTCTTCTTCAGGGCTTGCATATATGAAATGTATTTCGTTTTCTTCTTTCATTTCTGGTTCTTCAAAATCAGTTCCATCTTTAACATGGGAACCTTAGTGACATGACGATTTTGAGTGGCATCTGGAGGATGGAGATTATTTAAATTTAGATGTTTTGGGATAGGAAAGGAACCCAAAAGAATTATTGGCATATGATTATGGGAAGTCAAAATGATTCTGAAGAGAAATGTGGTAGATATTTCAGGATAAATGCAGAAAAATTTAGACAAGTTAAAGAAGCACAAAAGAGATTTTTGAACTTTGGGTATGGTCATAGCGTTTGCTTTTGGAGACAAGAACTCTCAAACTTGTTTTCACCATAGCAGTAACCCATCTTGAACAATAACTGCTAAACCTCTATGCACTGTTTTTAAACCAGGAATGGGCCACATGGGTCCTGCTTTTTAGCCAAAGCTGGATTGTTAGGCCCTTCTAAGAATAAATAGTTTGTTGGGTTCTTTGCCTATGACACTCAGTCTCCATTAATTTGTAGCACATTGAGTACTGGTCAATATGATACCGTTGGGAAAGAGCAAAGCCACCTGTCTGATATCAAAAAGTATGTGGGCTTTGAGGATTAGCCTTTATAACCCTTATTTATGACAGTTATGTTAGGTTTAAATTGACAACTCTGATTGATTTCAAGCAATTCTTTCAAGAAATTGCAAATAGTTGAAACCCCATCAAGTTTTTCTCAAGATATGGCCGACCAAGATGAGGGAAGGGAAGTGTAAGAATATGCAGTTTACCCCTAGTGACTTACAATGCTCTAGGACTTTATACATATTTCTGCCATCATCACTAATTAAGGCTTAATACTTACAAAATAAAATACTAAAGAAAACATAGATCTCATACATACATTTTTTTAATAGTTCAGTGGGGACGTAGTCTTGCAATTGTCATCGACTAATCATTTAAGCCCATAACCAATTCCTAAAATTTAGAGGTGAGCTTGTTTGCTGTTTTTTTGACAAACTTCAAGAATTCAAACTCTTGACCTTCCATACCTAAAACACGGAATTTCAACTACAACCTGTGTGTATTTTGGTTTAGACATCCTGATTGATCTAACATGATGTATGCAGTTTAACAAATCACTAATTAAAAAAAAGGAAAAAGAAAAAGAAAAGAATATCAAAGATATAAGCACACTCTTTCTTCTCATATCACAATTTTAGCAATCACATGGTAATAAATCATCTAATTAATAAGAATGAATTGAGGCATCTGGAGTATTCTTTTCATGCACGTTTTATTGTGTTTGTTGTGAAAGGTTTGTGTTTGTTATTGAGGGACAATGAACATTATGTCTTGCTACATTCATCATTGGGGTTATAATTAGCATGGACTTTCTTCATTGATGACTTTGTGAATTGCAAATTAAATTCTCATTTGTTTTCAGTGAATGAAAATTCGGTCGCCTTACCACTTAGGTGGCCTGATTGACAAAACGCATAGGTGTAGCCTAGGCGGTGGGGTCTGGCCTGGTATGCCTAAGGTAGGCACCTAGGCGGGCTCAAGGCTGGTGCCTAGGCGGTCTGGGCCCCCAAATAAAATTAAAAAAAAAATTTCAAATCTACCCAAACAAAAATATGGCTTGGTATTGCCCTTCTCTCTCTCTCTCTTGAGTCCATGTGCTCTCTCTAAATATGAAAAGAAGAAGAAGAAGAAGAAGATGGACTCCAAGTGTTCATGGACCTATATGCTCCCTCTTTACATGTGAGAAGAAGAAAAAGAAGAAGACCTCCACGTGTTCGATGTGAGGTCCCTCTCTCTCACAGACTCTCTATCTCTCTTTGGACATATCCAAGTGTTCAAGACCTCTCTCTCACAAATATAGATTCAAAAGAAATAAAAAAAAAAAAGAGGATGATTTTTAAGAATTTCATGCGAGACCTCACGCATATACATACGTGCGCATGCACACACATGAAACACATACATACACACATTCACAAAACACACACCAAGCAAGTGTTTCAAAAAATCCTGGGCGGCGCCTAGGCGGTCCAGTAGAGAGAAAACTTGTTTTTAAGGATCAGATTTTGTGTAAAAAATTAAGAAAAACATATTGAGACATATTTTAGTTCATATTTTAGTCCATAATTCCATGCATTTCAAAGTAAGACATTAAAAAAAATACATATTGATGCATATTTTAGTCCATACTCCAAGATAGCACTTCAATTCATTATCAAGAAACTGAAAGAAAATAAGAAATAACAATGCAACACATAAGAGTTAGGGACTTAGGGCACATCAAATGTCTATAGTCCACAAGTCCACATAACACATACACTCCTCCATACTCCATTAGTCCATAAGTCCATATCCATAGTCCACACACTGTTAAAACTTAAAATTTCAAAACCAAAGTTACCAAACTACAATACACAACCAAGAGGAGGAAAACAAAAATGTAAGAAACTTGAAGACTCAAAAGAGTCTTCAATCATCACTCATCAGACTCATCACTCATTATCAGAAAAAGCAAGGTCAGCTACATCTGTATCATATACATCGGAGTCAAATCCATCATCAACGGAATCATCTCCCTCCTCAATATAATGGTCATCCTCTTTTGTCTCTTATGAATTTGCCTGCTTCCTCCTCTTCCTCCACCCTTGTCCTCTGGGAAGAAGATCTAGTGGCCCTAGGACGGTTGGCTGATGTCCCTAAGGCCTCCATAACCATACTCCATGTCAATCCTTCATGTCCCTCAGCTTCATCATCTTCAACCAACCACTCCATAACATTAACCATATTTTTTGATCTGAGGAGGTCTCTCGTATTTCTCTCAGCAAACCTCTCCTTCAAGTATTGGCTATACTTGACATACACTAGGTCATTGAGCCTATTGATTCAAGCTTGTTCCTTTTCTTTGTATGAATCGAATAAAATCAAATGAAACTAATTAATAAAAATAAATAATTAAATATATAATAGTAGTACTACAAAACTACAAGTACAAATTTACAACTGACACAAGTAAACTAATTAAGACTAAGTAACTAATGACTACTAAAGTACTAATTTTTTTTGAGAATGAACCATTAAAGTATTAAATTATTAATACAAATTAGTAAATTATAAATTGTAAACTAATAAAGTAAACTAAATTACCATCTGAAAAGTACTCCAATTTTGCTCACAGCCGGATGAATTAGTGGTTAGGCTCAATATCCGAATGGCCAACTTTTGTAAATTTGGAGCATTACATCCATGTTGGCTCCGCCAATTGGCTGCAAATTAATTTTGAATTACAATTGTTAATTATAGATCTGAAATATTAAGGTATAGGATAATAGCATTATAGATTATGGAAAACAAATTACAAACATGAAATGAATCTGGAACTTGAGGAACTTAAGAATATTATTACCTGGATCAATTTTGGTCATTTGCCTCACAACCATTGGACTCCCAAAAGGCTTTAATCCGCACCTTGTAACTTATTAGTTCATCAGCGCATATAATATCCTGGATATTCGGATTAGGGACTAGCTGTTGGGTGTAATTTTAGTCACATACTGGACTAGATACATTCTGACAAGTGCTCGGTATGATTGAAGGTAATGTAAGACAAGGGCTCTGACGAACTCCAGATGAATGTTCTAACAATAAATGAGGTATGTAAGCTTGATAAGCGTAAAACTTTGAAGACATTGGATGCTGAATATACTCCTTAGTCACCATATGAGACTAAGTATGCCCAATAAGCTGAAGATGCTAATATGAGAGCAAAGGTGTTTTGACGAACGCTCGATAAATTGAAGATGTCAATGTAAAGCGGAGTTTTTGACGCACGCTTGATAGCGGTCTTACCAGACAGTCGATGAGACATGAGCATGGTTCTTAATAAAACCTGTCGAGATATACCCCCCATATGATATGAGATAATATGATATGAAAGATATGATATGCTCAGGATTCATGATATGAGGGCTCCAATATGCCTTCGGAACCCTGACTCGTTAGTCAGTCCCTATATGTTGTGACTTACAACTAATGACTCATTAGTCAAACATGTTCATCTTTTAACTTACGATTGATGACGAAAGATATTAAAGCCATCTCATTGGGAGACAGGTTCTAGGATACATATACTCCTAAGTCCACGATATGCTTCTCCATGTGATATATTGAGGAACTTGATACATTTTGATAATATATTTTCCTGATTTCAATCGTCAGTTATGCATGTACATCGTGACATATGATAAGAAACTACGAAGACGTTTAAATTTAATACGAAACTCTGGGACACATATACTCCTAAGGCCCCTATATGCCTCTACTGGATATTGGAGGAGTTTTGGATGAGATGTGATATGTTTCTTTTACTCCATCGTCAGTTAAGGAGATAAGGCTTAACTGATGGGGAATAAGGATACCTCGCAATGTGACATCATAATGCAGTAAAATACTTAAAAATACCATGGGGCCGCAATATGCCTATATGTCCAAGAATTTTACAAATTGGACAAGATTTGGAATTGGCTTAACCCAATATCCGTATCTAACGTCAATCAAGATTTACCTTGACCGACGCCCCAAAACTTTATGTTTTGGGATTTAGCCGTGATTCTCAGGGAATCATATTTGAGACATGATATCCCTTACCGTGAAGTTTCATATCATTTGGAGGTGGTTTAACCCGTCATCCGCATACCTCTGCAGTTAAAGCCTTAAAAACTTTATACTCCGTATGTTACATCCAGGTTGACACCCTGTCACCAAAATTGATATTTCTCTCTTGATATGAAGGCTTTTATCATGGGACCAAGACCATTGGAATCCTAACCCAATGGCCTATCACCTTAAAAGGTGTGGCATTATTTGATAGGTGTGTTGGAAGCGGTTGGATCCGCAACACACTAGTTTTGCTGATGCAATTTCCAGTCGTAAGAAAGTAACTTGGAGGATGATATCTCTTTCATCTTTGATCCATTTAAGAGAGACTTGGACCATTGGGTTCATCTCTAAGTCCTCTTTCATCTCTCCAAATTTCATGTTCAAAGGATCTACCATGAGAAAGCGATTGAAGAATTACAAAGACATCTCAGAGTTGCGTTGCAGAAGCTTGACTGACAGGGGATAAAGAGATAACAGATTCCTGATTTTGCTCATGCGTGTTCACGCTGAACCTGAGATTTGAATTCGAATATTTTGAAGATGACCATTGACTGAAACATGAGATTATCATTAGAAGACACCTGTGCGAAAATATAAATCCGTTTTAATCCATGTAGTTATCAAGATAAACGACGTAATTATCATCGTGAAGATCAATCATAGAGGGGTTTGCTTTTCGAGGTTCGATTAGCTCGATTTTGCTTGGTTCAATTGGACCCTATAAGGTTGAATCATCGCTTTTAGAGAGAGATAGAGTGGTTGTGTACACGGTGTGTGAAGAAACGGTCCACTCCACGACAGTCTTCTGAAACATATCTGAGATAGAGAGATAGAAGTTTATCTTATTCTGCTTTTGATCCATTTGAAGCCCGTTATCGAAGGAGCAAAACTCAAAGAATAGTGTCCCTACATTTAAACTCAGGTATACAGGCCAATATGCCCATTGGTATTATTCCTTTCTTTCATATATTTGTATATTTTCTTTCTTTGAAGCAAATGTATAGGTTTCAAGACTCGAATCAAGGGTATTCAGTCTAGGTTTAGACTGATGTAAATTGTAATAGAGGATTAAACCTCTTGAACTGATCCGTTCCCAGTATATGATATAAAAACCTGTGTTTCTATGATATGGAATGCACGGGCGAATTTGGCTCCGAGTGTGATGTACTCCAATCATTTTTTGTTGTTTAATGTTTATTTAGACATTTTAATCGATATTAGCATCGCATTATTCGGAGCGTCCACTAGCATCTATATAATTATTAAATCCAATAATAATTGTGTCATTTGTGTGTATATCCCTATTAGCATAAAAAAAAGCTAGGTTCAAAAAATAACTAGTTGCATGCTACGTAGTTGCCTATCCCACTTCCCATCAATAATCTTCCAAACAGGCTCAGAGTGGCTGACATCATCATCTAAATTTTGGGCTATCTCTCTCTTGCATCTCTACATTGCCTCGTATATGTAGCCCATAGAGGGCTTGTCACTATCAACCATGTGAATGACTTTGACAAGAGGAAAAAAATACCTAAAGAGCGCCGCCCTTTCACCCCTCGCTAAAAAAGCCTTAGAGAGGATAATATCTCTCACCTTCTTCCCAAGTTGATTCTTGGACCACTTTCATGCTCTCCACTCATCTGAGGTAAACATTTGCCTCTACGAGATTCTCCTTGAATGTATGTTATCTAGGCATAAGTACCAAGTAGCAAATCACATGACTTCGGGCCTCACAATCTCTTTCTTCTTTGTAAATTTACGCATCATGCTGATGGTGAGGGTGTGGCAATAAATAAAAGTCATAACCGACTTTTCCTTCTTCACTGCACCTGGAATATCGCTCAAACCGCTAAGAACCTCAAGCATGAGGTCTATATAGTGTGGTAAGATATGTGCAACAAATTAGCAGCAACAACATTAGAAGCAGCATTATCTATGACAACTTGTATAACATGCTTCTCCCCAACCTCCTTGATTCCCTTCTCCATCACTTGAAATATGTAATGGGCATCATGTCTATAATTAGAGGCATCAATAGACTTCAAAAAAACAATCCCTAAGAGGCAATTCACCAGCAAATTCATTTGGCTTCTTCTCTTCCTATCACTCCAAGTATTAGTCATAACAAAAACCCTATACTGAGCCTATGCATCCTTCTGAACATCAACAATCTCCCTTATGATAATCACTTCTTTTTTCAAAAGAGGCTCTGATAGCGCATATGGGGTCGGGGGTTTCGTTCCAGGCCCAAATTAGCTAATAGCCTCTACCAAGGTGTTGAAGCTGCTTAGGCGAGAGGTATTGAAGGGATATCTCGTCTCATAAAACCATCAAGCAATGGACCGTGTAGCTCTATCTCTTGCTTCCTTCTTGATTCTATTTTCAATAGTTGTTTGCTTCTTTGTTTTCTCTCCTGCAACTTTAGGGTCAAGCCGAGGCAAAAAACAATCTATAGGCCCTCTAACCCAAGGCCTCTTAGGCCTCCCCACTCCCAGAACCAAGTACAATTCCCTTTCCCTTCCCCCTAATCTGGGGACTGTGATTGTTCTACCTCTTGACACCCCTCCCCATCCTAATCACTATCGTCATCATCATAATTGACTCGAACCTTAGACCTCATCTCTGTTATGGATGCCTGTCTCTCATCTTTTTTCTTTTTTACAAGACTCATAAATTTTTTTATCTTCTCTCTAATAGCATCAGGAGCTTTTTTACATGGGGCACCATCCCCCTTGATATCGGCAAGATGTTTCTTAAACCGGTTTATGCCCCTATTTGTATCATTTTCACAATAATTGCATCTTATGCAATTTTTATCCAAAGGATTCGTGTTATAGCCATATTTCCAACCGGGATCACCACTTCGATTAGATCCCGAAGAAACATCTCAAAATAATATAAGCAATCTAACAAATAAAATTTTTCACTAACTTTGATTGCTCGATCCCTAAGAAACATCTCAAAATAATATAAGCAATCTAACAAATAAAAATTTTTCACTAACTTTGATTGCTCGATCTCCAAACTTCCACCTCTGAGGTGTTTTCTGAGGTTAAAATATTCTAAAAAACCTTCTAATAGACTTATAAAATTATCCAAATTAAATCTAATCTCAATGGGTGATGCTTAGATCGTTTTCTCATAACTTTGAGAAACCCTTTGATCCAATGGAAATCACCAAAAACTAGTTTTTTGAGGTTTTTTTTCTCTCTACATTTGGTCTAGTGGGGTTTAAGTTTCAAATAAACCTACAACCCACAATTATCCCCCATTTTTTATTAAAAAAAGACAAAAAACTGCCCCTCAACGAGGGGCATTTCAGCCCCTGGGTGGGGCGCATGCCCTAGGCGACCGCCTTGGGGCAGGCCGCCTAATAGGGCCGCATAGCCCTCGGCAAGGTGCCTAGGCTTTCTGGACCGCCTAGGCACTAGGTGGTCCGCCTTTTCAAACAATGCACCAAACAACATAAGGCCCGCACCCCAACCCCTTTCCTTTAGGCCGCCTTTGTGTTTGGGTAGCCGCCTCTGCCTTTTTTAACATTGTTAGTTTCTTATTTCTAATGTGGAAAGGAATCATATTTTACTTTCTATTCTAATTGATGTTCTCATTTCTGGCTACTTCTGCTATCCTCTTTGCGATGTCATGCTCTAGATGTTGTGTTAAATATTCTCTTTGTATTTAGAAATGATTCACTTATTTTGCTGCTTAAATCTCATGTGCAGGATATGGTAGCTTGTGATGTTATCAACCCTGATGAGATTAAAGTGACATTTGAGGCAGTTGGTGGTCTTGAAAAAGTTAAAGAAGACCTTCATGAGCTGATTATTCTTCCTCTCCAAAGGCCTCTTTTGTTTTTAAGAGGAAAGCTCCTAGCTCCTCAAAAAGGTGTATTGCTTTATGGTCCACCTGGAACTGGAAAAACTTTGTTGGCAAAAGCCATTGCGAGGGAATCTGGGTCAGTTTTTATCAATGTGAGAGTGTCCAATTTGATGAGTAAATGGTTTGGTGACGCTCAAAAACTCGGTATGCATGTAGTGGAAATATTGTTCAATTGTATAGTGGACAAAAAGTGGGGTTTATTTTGATGCATTGAATTCGATTAGTTCGGAGCACTTTTGCACAATATCATCATGGCCATGCTGTATTTTGACATAATGCTTTTCTTTTTTAAGAAGTTTATAAATTCTGACATATTTTTTCCTCTCTAGAAAATATTTCAGTGCAGGTTTGGGTTTGCGTAGTTTGTAATTGTGCTGATTGGTTGTACATTATTTTTGTTAGTCAAGTACATTGTTTTGTTCTGATATTCCTTTGGTAATTCCTGCAGTTACTGCTGTCTTTACATTGGCATATAAGCTTCAACCTGCCATTATATTCATAGATGAGGTTGACAGCCTATTGGGTCAGCGCCGCAATACTGAGCAAGAAACCTTAACAAACATGAAGACTGAATTTATGACATTATGGGACGGCCTGACAACAGACAGTGTGCTTTCATCTCTTTATGTCTTTTTATGTTCTTTCTCAAATTATTGGTTTCAATTTTTCTGTGCATTTCATTAATCTAAACTCTTTTTCTATGACATCAATTGTGCCATGTTCATACTAGTTTTACCTGAGTACTCCAATATATGGTGTCACGTGTCGATAGTTAGACACATGTCAACGCGTGTAGACATAGGCCTCACTTGACCATATGTGCAGGGCAATTTTATTGATTTTCAGTACATATCGACGTGTGGTATATAAATGTTGTCAATTTTTATTACAATAAAAGACTTTGAGCTACATGGTAGAGTGGACTTTCTTAGCTCAAGAGGGCTCAAGATCAAATCCCTCTGGGAGTTTTTTGTTAATATTTTAAAAATAAACATCAGGTCAGGTTTGGAATCCATAACATGTTGAAGTGGAAGTGGTCAAGTCTACTGGTGCTCGCATAGCGCTTAGCCTACATGAAAAGTGAATAGTTATATACTAAAGGAGTGAATAGCCTGCATGAAAAGTGAATAGTTATATACTGTAAAAAGATTCATTTAATATAAAAGAATGGAAAACTCACACCTTAAGGTTAGATCAACAGTCTCCTTCATAAGGAGCAGTGCACTTTACCACTAAGAGGACAATAAATCTGTGCAAAGAAATGTCTGATGTTTTTTATATAACATTATGTTTAATTTTAAAAATTTTTGTAATGCGTTGTCTTGCCATATCCACATATTGGTTTTCATAGATGAAGTCCTCGATTCTCCTGGTACATGTTTGACACCAAAACGAGTGTCGGTGTCTTTGTAACACTGCTTCATAGACAACCATAACATCTGCCAGATGTACTCAAACCTTATTTTATGTGGAGACTGGTTGATTGCAAATGTATCTTCTGTGGATTTGTAGCCTTCTTTAGATATGCTTTTGTTAAGAGTTCATCCGTGCTATTTAGTTTGTCTATTACAAGGTATGGTAGCTGAGAAGAGTTCTTGTGCTAAGCACCTCTATGCACCCACAAAGCAGGCATATTACTTTTGTTGTGGACAAAAGCTATTAAAAAATCTAAACTAGTAGGGAATGAATATTTTACCCCTGCTTGTGGGCATTATTTCTGTTGTGATTGTGTGATACGCGTGCATCTGATAACCATGAAGTGGACCAAATCACCAAACATTTTTATAGTTCTTTATATTTCTGCAGCATGCTGAAGGAAAAAGAAACACTTGCTAGGATATTAGTGTAGCTTTTTTTATTTGAGGAAAGGATGTTAGTGTACTTATTGTAAGGCTACTAGAACATCTGTGACACAATTTTGGTATGTGTCATCTCACGAAATAAAGTAATACAGTAATTTTGCATGCTCCTTGTGTAAAACACAATGCATCAATGCTCTATCCAAACTCTAAACTAAAGTATTCCTTGGTTGACGTGACATTTTTCTACCTGGTGTTTGAACAAATATAGCTCTAACAAATAAAGGATTTTATGATGGAAATCAATTAGCTTAAGGCAACAATCTGAAATTTCAAATTCAGAAGTTAATCTTGTGACTAGGATGTGAAATTTTTTTGATAAAAAGGATGTGAAATTTACCAAAGAACAAGTTGCAACGAGACCGACTTGAAACCAATGTTGACTTATGGTTCTTTGGTTGAACTTTGAAAGATAGGACAATGTGATCTAGCCAAGTATATACAGCTAAAAAAATTGTTACTTTCTTTCTTTTATTCATATCGACTAGAAGACTTACAAGTGTCCAAAATTACATCTTTAATTCATAAAAATAAACCCTAATACAATCTAGGACCTTTACTTGCATGCCATTACAGTTATTACAATGAAACAAAACACAATGCATGAATTGGATCAAGAGACTTGAAGCTATTAGAATATTAAATACCTTGCCAAGGGTTAGCCCCAAGCACTTCCAACACCCCACATTGGGTCTCCTCCGCCGATGGCGCATGGGATCACTGCCTTTTGACCTTTTCTTACAGTAAGGGAAGCCTAGGCAAAACTCTATTCAAGATATGAGAGCATGAGATAGCATGGGATAGAGCCTTTCTTCATAACCTAGGTTTACTATGGGCTAGGGCGTGCCATCCCTTTATGGCTTTGGCATAGTCCCCTCTTTATTTATTTCCCAACCCTAGAAAGAGAGATGAGAGAGAAGAAATAGAGAGAGTGGGGCGTGCTGGATTCAGAGAGAGAAAGAGCGAGAAAAGAAGAGAGGTCAATACCAAAGTGTGTGGAAATCATTCCCATGAGGGGGTATTTATAGTGCAAAACTAGGGTTTTGGGGTTTGTCATCATTATGGAGACTCAATCTCGACTGTAGATCTTAGAGTCCTATGGGTGAAGAGATCTTACCCTTACATTCTTTAGTTCGGTCGTCATGATTAAAAGGAATGTGCGAGAACCATTATCCCTCAGTTTCCTTAACCCTATTCTCATCAAATATTTGATTATGTAAAATAAAGTAATACATAATACTGATTTCAATCAATTAAAAAACTTTCCCAAAAAAAATAATTCAATCACCCTTCTCTCTTCCATGGGAAACTTCCCCCTCAAGTTACTTTATGAGAGAAAGAGAAACATAAAGAAGGTGGGGGGTGCCACCCATGTAGGCAACTTGTGGGCCCGACACCCCCACAATGGGCTCCATGTGGTGGGCCCCAACCAAATCTTGGTCCCCACACCCTCTAGTAATTTTAGAAATTAATAAAATGACTTTTAGAGCCCCATAAGTATTTTTATTTTCTCTCTGAATGAATTAAATTCAGAAAATTTTAGCTACATAAAAATCCTTTTAGGTAAAATAAAATACTCAGAGGGTTTTAGAAAATCATTTTAATGTCCTAAAATTCAAATTAGACATTAAACTATTTTGAAATGAATTTTGATGGGAATTGGATCCAAGGAGTCAAGGATAACACAAATATACTGAGGCACTCCATCCCTTTTGGAAACCGCATCCTCTGTCATCTTCTCAAACTTTCCCAATGGAGCCTATGGCCCACAACCCATGGATTACAGGTCCCATTGGGCACACACTCTCTCTCATAGGTCCTTCCAATGCAATCCAGTATTACAGGGAGACATCTCTTTCGCACATGTACATGACATGCCCCAAATGGCTGCTTCTCGGATGGCTATCTAGTGTACATGCCGTGTGATGACAATGACTAGGATTTTGAGCTTTGTCCTCTCCGGCTAACCACCACACACAGGGTCACACCCAGTCCCTTGGCTAACATGTTGGAATTATGTGCTTTCAAGACCTTAAATGCGACATTTTCAATGGCTATTAACTTCAGTGGGAGTAAAAGAGCAGCATGACTCTAGGATCTTGGCCGACTAGGATCAAGAGTCATGGAACCCCGATTAAGTCATGACGAGGATTTATGCATAGGAGCTACCGAGAGAGTTGAGGGTTACCTCTTAGTCAGGGTTAGTTGTAAACCCCATGACTGAGTGTTGGGCTAGGGTAAAGTGATTTATGTATGAGCTTGCTGATGAAAAGCCTTGTACGAGAAGGTTCGGGCCAATAGAGGATATTGGCCTAAATCCCTGACTCTTAGAACCTTCTCATAGCATGTGCATATACAGTCACAATGCATAGGAAGCCGCTCTTCTAGCGATCCCTTGGTTAGAGCTATGCACATGTGCTAAGAGAGGGAACCCTGCACCTTATGTGTGCATATCCTTTAGGGGGTGTATTTGAAATCCACTTACATTTGGGGATTCAAAGTCGCACATCGGTTTGACTTTGATAGACTGACCACATGAGCCCCTGATTATACACTGTGGGTCATGAGTTTGTTGGGTCATACCGAGAAGGTGGCTTTGGATTCCAGGTCTACTTGAGTAGAGTGCTTCTTGTAATTCGACTCCAAGAATCCTAATTTCCTATGTAAATATTTTTAATCAATGCCAATATGATTTAATTTGATGGAAAATCATTAAAATGATTTTTATGGATTTATGAGAATTTTTTTGGATTTTTCTAGGCAAGAAAATCCATTTTTCAGAATTGTTTGAAAAAAATGACAAACAAGGACAGTCCTCCAGGATCCAAAGGGGACACCCAAATGGCCAATGGGTATCCACGTGTCGGCTTGGGGAGTTCCACATTCCCCCCATGTGGAGATGTGGGGGTGATGTCAACCCTACCAAGGGACCCCCACGTCCTTTGTTGATTTGTTCATTTAAGTTAAATGTATTGAATTTTGGAATTTTGTAATATATTGAATTTTGAAAAAATTATTTTGGCACATGTTTAATGCCTAAAGCAAGGGGGTTTGTGCACATGTGTGGAGGATTCTACAAGAGATATAGGGTTAGTAATTACAAGCCTAACCCTAAGGGTATATTGCAATTGTGTAATTAACCACCTAGCTTACATGGCATGATTTAATTAGCCCCACATGCTCTTACGAAATGGAGGTAACTTCTAAGATTTGTTTTTTGCTGGAATTTTTGACAAATGACCATAAGGGCATATCCTGCATCTTGGTTTTAGCTTTATAAATGTAAAGAGTATGGGCATTTTGATAACAAGGGAAATTGGAGTGAATTATAAAGGAGGATAAAGGTGTTTAAATCCATATCACCTATCTTGATGGTAGATGGTGGGCGAGGATCATGCATCTTTGTAGCTATTGGTAGATGACATCAAGGACTAATATTCATTCATCTAGAAGCATCTCCGCACTTGAGGGTTGAAAATTTATAAACACCCCATGATCTTTCATTTTACACATGAGTTCATACGTTACAAATTCCTTCCCTCCAAATATGGCACACACCTCTCTCTCTTCTTCCAAGAAGTGGCCTGCTCCAGCTAGGTCTCTTCTTCCTTCCTCTCTCAAAAATTTTCCATCTTAAGAGAAAAGGTGAGAGAAGAACCCCATTGAAGGTCTCATTCTACTCCATTAATGGTGATTTAAAGCTCAAATTCAAGTCTTGGATGATCTAGTCTTCAAGCCTTCTTGAGTA